AACACAAATCGATAAAGTAAATGAATCTGCTAAGTAGATAACCTACTAAATATAAATCTACGATAACAGCAAAAGATGCCCTCCAAAAAAAAAATAGGAAATATTAAATCTTTGTGTTGACTAATTGTTCCAAGTTTTTTTTTCAAACCACTGTATATACAAACGAAATGCAAGAATTAGTTTACATTCGCATAAACTTCTTATATATTCACAGATAGATGAAAGGTATTTTTGCATGTGTTTTCTATATTTTGTAGTATATATTGCATGAGTTTTGTGATGAAAAGAAAAAAGCAAAACGATTTTATTTGTATAGAATTTCTCTTATTTGTCGTTTTTTCTTCTCTCTATATTAAGATCCGATCATGAAAATCAATTTTATGAATATACATTAATTATTCATAATATAACATTCGAAGATGAAACAGATATAAAAATTACTGCAAAATCTTCTGCATTAGAAAAAATTAAAATCATTAAACCAAATGTAACTGGTAATCCTGTTGGTCAATTTTCTTTTGTATCAGATGATACTTCACATACAATTTCATGGCGTGATGAATATGATATAAATAAAGTAAATATTTATTCATATGGTATATATGAACGTGAATCATATCGTATTGTTTGTACGGTTCGTCATCGTGCTGATATATCACGACCATTAAAAATATTTATGCATGATATTCAATGTTCAATGGAAAATTGTTTATCAGATATTATTGATAAAACTTGTCAATCATCATCGAATTCACGTTTATTAACTACAACAGAAAATCGTGTAAATAATTTTCAAACACAATTTATTAGCAGTGAATCACAAGTTATTAATGATCCATCAATTGGTCATCAATATATTTGTTGTTATGAACAAAATGGATTAATTATGTTAGCAAAATCATTAACAGCATTAGCACGTAAGAGAAAAATAATTAAGACGAATAAAAACAATACAAATTCTTGTCTTTTTTTTTTTGTTTTTTATTTAAGGTAATCGTAATATGTTTGTTGTACGTAAACCAGAATTTAGTTTAGTTACTGGAGATATTTTAACATATAGATGTGAAAGTCATGATTTGATTTATGATGATCTTCGAATGATTTATAATGATGGTTTATTTACATATGAAAGAAATCGTTTTGATGCTCAATGGTATTCATTGGGAAGTAAACAACCAAAACAAACTGATATCGAATGGTCAACACCGACAAGGTTTTGCTTTTGCTATATTATATCATTTTGATTTGTTTTTTTTTTGGTATATTAGTGAAAATATTCGAGACACAATTATTGAAGTAAAAACATTACCATTAAGGAGAATTGGTAAAATTGGTTTTTTTCAATGTATGGCTTTATCTAAACGACCGGATGTTGTTGTGAATATGAATGATACATATATAATTCAAGTAGATGGTAAATTCTAACGAATTTTTTTTTTTATAATTTTTATATAAGTTATTTTTTTAAAGATCCTGTACCATTAAAATTTAAAAATAATCTACCAATAATTCAAAAACTTGAACGAAAATCAGGTATTAATGTTGAATTTGATTGTTTATATGATGGACGACCACAACCGAAAATCAATTGGCTTAAAGGAAAATTACCATTATCAACTGATGATTCAACATTACAAATTCGTGATAATAATGGAAGGTAAAAAAATGAATTTGATTTTTAATTCAGAGAATTTTAGTTTTAATTTACAAAAGAGAATATTCTGAAAAATTAAATTAATCAAGTTTAATCAAATTGAATGAGCATTTAAAAAGACAATCAAACTTTTATTAAAGACAAGTCAAATATTCATAAATTAACTTGTGAAATAACTGTGATAAGAGAATAATTCCATTATATATAAATAAAATATTGAGAATACAATTCCAAAAATTAATAATCATTTATTTTTGAAATAAATTTGACTCCACCGAATTCGAACATTCGGATTTGAGTTCATTTTTGACAGCAATTATTTCAGTCAATTAATAAACGAAAGTAGAAGTAAGCTACAAGAAAAGATTTCAGTCTTGATTATGTTAGATGTACGCACTATGGAATAAATAACATGATGGAAAAGGGTAAAAAAGAAAATAATAATTTCGAAAGCAAAACGTTTAGAGAATAAAAAATCATTAACATGAACATTTTGACCAATGATAAAAAAAAACTTATTGAATACCGAAATACAAGAACAGGACTATTCATAGTGTAATTGACATTACGGATAAATTAATGAAATGTTCAAGCATTTTTCTTCTGGTTCAATTACATGACAAACGATTTCGATATTTTTTTTTTCAACATTCTTCCTTCCGGTATGTTTCGATCCAGTTGAATACAGGATCCAAAATCTGAAAGTTTGCCAGCATATTTAAAAAAGTCAGCAATGTTCAGAAATACTCAAATTCGAGCTTAACCGAACTTTAAGGTGTTTTTATAATTGCTTATATACCTCAAGGAACGCTCGATAATCATCCAAATAACTGATGCTTTTGAATTTGTTGGATAATTTCCGAGCTCGAACGCAAACTGTTCCTTCCGAACACTAAGGCAGAGCTCGGGTTCGATCAGTGACGATTCCAGGATTTTTCAGTATGCTGAATCTCGACTTCCGAGTGTGGGACCCAGATGAAACTCATGGAGGGTGATGCTGGGTCCAAATGATGAAATTTTATCAAAA